TTGCTGTGACAAAGCCTCTGCTATTGGCTTAATCTTCCTTGTAAATCAAACAAGTAGACCTGCATCTAAAAAGCCTGTCCGTTCCGAGGACTGAGTGGAAGGCTGGGGAGGTCGCTGCTGGCTGGTTTGGTTTCCGAGTTACCCTCACTGAAACAGCATTGCACAGACAAGAGCACACAGCGAGCATTTGAAAACAGGTTGACAGTAAAAACTGCAGATCGATTTTCCACAACAGTTGCCAATCAAGGAAAACATATGATGGCCATGAACTGCACCCAACCCAGCCACAGCGCCTGGCACATTTGGGACTTGGTTCTGGAAAGGACAGTCTCCTCCCTTTTCCTGGACCACCTCAGAACCCCCCTTCACATGACCCTGAAGCCACCTGTCCCAGATTGCCTGTTCCCTGCCTGAGCCTGCAAGGATGCCCTGGGGAGCCCCAGCTCCCTCTCCTGCAGGTCCCTAGGAAAGGGCCACCCTTAGGAGGTGCAGCTGGTGGCTGCTCTCCTCCAACCACCAGTAAGCACAGGGGACTCTCTGTAAGCAGTGAGGCTGTGGAGCAGAAACCCTAGGCAAAAGGTTTTTGCTTGTATAGGTTGCTCTTTGAAAACATTTGGGAATCATCAAACAAAAGGAAAATCACAGGTATTACATTCCATCCCTCCCCCTGGGACCGAAGATCCCTATCTTTGCTGTTGCAAACAGTCAGTAAACATGTGAGTGCAGGTGTTGCAGGGAAGGGGACTTCATGGCCTGGGTCCTCCCATCAAGTCAGGTTGCAGGATCACTGGGCAGTTCCATTTCTGCCTCCGAGCATCACTCCCAAGGAACTGGCAGGCTCCATCTGCGGGGAATTCCAATCCAGCACCTTTATGGGCTCTGTCACACTGGCAGCTGGAACCTGAGGTCAGACAATGTGGGCAGTGATTGCCCACAGTATTTGTTTTGGCAAACCCTGTTTGTAACACTAATTTAGCTCCGTATGATCAAAATGTAATTGTAACTATCAAGTGAGGCGTGACCAACTCTCCACAGCTCAAGCCCATGACAACTGCAGAGCCCAGGAAAATGGAACCCGGACAGGGATGGCGGACAGGGAGGAACCTGCAGGGTCCCCCCACCTGAGGACTGGGAGGTTCAGCATCCCACCACCCCTAAAAGGCTCCCTGATTGCTTGTGAATTATGCATCAGTTCTGTTCCTCTTTATCAGCAGAGACTAAAGGATAGGTCATTGACCCCAGGAATCTAATGAGGAAGGTTAAGGGGGTCTGAATCCCGCCGCCTCCAAAGGTGCAGCATCCAATAGGGCTCTGGGGGCATCAGTAGGAAACAGGTGCTGATCCGAAGTGGGGATGGCGGGGCGGATCTGCAGGGAGATGAGGCCAGAGCCGAGTGCAGAGGGAAGGACCAGGCCTCGATGTTGCTGGAGCCCTGAGAGGTTGTCCAGTTGCAGCTGGGAATTGAGGCTGGAGTTCAGCAGAGGGGCCAGGCTGGGAGCAGAAGCTGAGAGCCAGCAGCACCCAAGGGTGGCTGACACCATGAGCCCAGTCACACCTTCCATTTCTGATCACCAAAAAAGTAAACCATCAGTACGTCGCTGGTCGCTTTGCTGGGTGGGGCTCGAGCACCTCAGGTCTGGGGGGCCTCCCCTGTGTCCAGGCCACCAGCCACCTCTCCGGTGAGTCCTGGCTGCTGTCACTGCCATGCCACTGCACGCCTCCAGGGGGACCAGCCACAGCACCTGCCTTAGCAGGAGCCCAGCAGCCCTGGCGGTAGGGACCAGAGCCCCAAGGCCCTGGCACCTCCCAGAACCTCTGGACTCGAGTGAGGTGCCACCTCCTTGGAGTGAGGAGGGCAGAGGACCAGTGACCAGTCACGTGTTTCTCCCGCTGTGTGCATCCATCCTGCGCCCTACACAAGTCTCTCAGCCACGCAGAACTTCGCAACGCGTGCTGTGCCATTCAGAGCCTCCAGAGAACAGAGGCGAAGGGCTATGCAGAGGGCCACGGAGGCAGAAGAGGTTCATTCCGAGGACCTGAGCTGTGCAGTGGTGGCATTTCCCGGGCTAATTAGATTTTTATCTCACACCTGACAACTAAAAACCACAAACTGCTAGTAAGATAGTAAACTGGCACAAGTTCCAGAGGGAAAAGTGGCGACGTAGGGCAAAGAGACACTTAGATCAAAGGTCAGCCAAAACAGATGACCATCTTAAGAATGGATTGGGCAGGAGGGCAACTGTGTTTGTGCAAGTGTTTGTAGCAACACTGTTTACAAAGGGAAACTCAGAGAGGACCTAAATAGGCGACCTGCATGAACCGGCTAAGTAAATGATGTCACCTCCATAAAATTGTGGCATTAAACAGGGTGATGTTAACACGTTACCACATATCACTAAGTAGATAGAGAACATTACAAAACAATGCGTGTTTTATTTCTTTTTTTAACCTTTGGATTATTTAGAAATATGTCATTTAATATCCAATTACTTGGAAATTTTCGGACAATGTTCTATTTCCTGATGTCTAGTTTAATTTCACAATAGCCTAATAACACGTTCTTCATGATAGCAAACTTTTTAAATTTAGTGGAATGTTGTTTCTCCTCAAGCCTTAAGTTTGTCTGGAAATTCATGAGTACTTAAATGCAAAGAGTGAAACTCGTGATCTAGTGAGGGGTGGCAGACCACTCTGGACTGCAGTGTTGCGTGGGTCGGTAAGGCACTCACTGATTTCTGGTGGCTCCGCCCTGTCAGTAGCTACAGAGTTGGCAGAGTTAACCTAACCCTCAGGGAGGGCTGTGTCTCTCACTGCTGTCCTGCCACCTTTTCCTCCGTGTGTTTTGGAGCGTGCTTACCGGCCACGTGCGTATTTACAGTCTGCTATCTTCCTTCTGGTGTGCTCCTTCTGTGCTGTGTGACGTCCTGCTTTCATTCCTGGACACGGCCTTTATTTCGGGTCCACTTTTTACCAACATTGACACTCTGCTCTTTGGTGAGGGCTTACCCGGTATGGTTTCTAACAGCTTTCATCTCTACCCTACCTAGATCCTCACATTTCAAATATATTTCATGTGGGTAGCACGCTGGGGTCACACTTTTGATCTAGTTGACAATCTCCAATCATCTGTTAATGGCTATACTTCTCTGGCTACTTTAACTCTGCCTTCTTGTGACTAACCCCACCTTCCTGTTGTTAGATTTTTGTTGGACACACAGGTTCTCTCCTCACCCACCCGCACCCCTCCCCACCCCACCCCACCCCCGTTTGCCTCCTTTTGAGTTGAGTGTTTTTAGTTTATTGCCTTCCTGCTCTGTTTTGTTTGCTAAGGATTGCTGCGGGGTTCCAGCGTGCATCTTTCACATGAAGTAGGAGAGAGAAGAGTAACTTAACTTTTACTGCGCTTACGCATTGTTTTCTTCTCACAAATGAATGACTTGTTTAGTGAAATAGTTTCTTTCATTTTTTTAACTTGGGGACTGGAGATGTAATTCTGTGTTAGGGCCCCTGAGACTCGGATTTGACCTCCAGCCCTGCAAGAACAATCAAGCAAAAAAATTAATTTCTCACACTGCAAAGGAAAGAACCAACCGAGTGAAGAGAGCCTACAGAATGGGGCAACACTTTGGACAGAAGATGAACATCTAGAACATATGAAGAATTCAAAAAACGTTACACCAAACATAATAGCGCAGTGAATAAGCAAGCAAATGTTATTAGCTGTTTCCTTGATAACAGCCATTCTTCCTGAAGTGAAATGGAATTTCTGCATCGTTTTAATCTGCATCTGTCTAATAACCAGTGATGTTTCACACTTTTTCATATGTTTAGGGTTGCTGTTTCTACTTCTGAGAAATTTCTAGGCATCCCAGATGCCCGTGTTTGAATTGGGTCTTTGAATTTGGCGGATCTGATTTTTTCCCAGTTTTTTATATGTTCTAGTTTGTTGGTCTGAAGAAGAGCTAGAAAAACACTTTTTCATTCTGTGTCTTTTCGCTTTGGTGGTGATTTCATTTGCTATGCAATAGCTTTTTAATAAGGTCCCAGTTGTTGATTTTTTGTAACATTTCCTGTGTGCTTGTGGTTTTGATCATAAAATCTTTATCTATACCTATCTCTCCCAGAGTTCTACCTGTTCTCTTTCAGTACATTGAGTGCTTCTGTTTTATTTAGATTTTTGATCCATTTTTTATTTTAGTTTAGTGCATGGTTACAGACAAGGATCTAGTTTTAGTCTTCAGCATTTTTGGAGAGCCAGTTTTTCCAGCGCCATTTATTAAAGAGGCTGTCTTTCTTTAGTGAACATTTTGGCCTCTTTGTCAGAGATCAGGAGGCCGAGTGAGTTTGGGTTTGTGTCTGCATCTTCTAATCTGTTCCACTGATCCTCAGGTTTGGTTTTGCCAGTACCAGTCTTTTTTTATCTGTAGTATAATTTAAGTCAGGGATCATGATGCCACTGCTTTGCATTTGTTACTCAGAAGGATTTTTCTATTCTGCGTCCGGTTCCAAATGAATTTTAGAAATTTTTCTCTGATTCTGTGAGGTATGCTAATGGTATTTTGGTTGGGATTGCGTTAATCTGTATAACAGTTTGCGAGTATGGCCATTTTCACTATGTTGGTTCTTCCTACCCAAGGGCAAGGGATATCTTTTCATTTCCTGGTATCCTCCTCCATCTCCTTTGGCAGAGATGTGGGGGGAAAAGAACCCTTCTCAATAGTTGGTGAGAGTGTAGATTGGCACAATCACTGTAGAAATCAGCATGGAGAGTCCTCCAAAAAGTAGGATTAGAAGTACCATTTGACCCAGGTATTCCCCTTGGGTATCTTTCATGAAGAACTAAAAGCATCACACCACAGCAATATATGGGAACCCAGGTTTACAGCAGCACATTTTGTAAACAACAGATCTTGAAAACAACCTAAATGTCCAGCAATCGATGAATAATAAAAAGCATGCGTTTTAAAGAAACGAAATTGAGACATTGATAGCTAATGAATGGACTTTGAGACCATAATCATAAGTGAAATAAATCAGACACACAGGGGTAAATATCCTCTTATCCCTCTGGAGTGAGACACTAAAAATGTAAGAACCAAAACGCACAATAGATATTGTGAAATAGGAAGAAATTGTTCAAAAGGAAACAGGAAACTACGAAAGTGGGGAGGGAGAAAAAAGGAAAGGAAAAATGAGAAAAAGAGGGTAACCTGAAAACTGAGCTTTGTGGACAGGGAAGGGAAGAGGGTGGGGACAAATCAAGGTGTATCCTGTACAGGAACAAACTGCCTGGGATGGATGTGATCACTGTCTATGCTTTATTTAACAAAACAATGGGCAAACGAATTGAACAGACACTTCTCAAAAGAAGTACAGATTACCAATAAAAATAGGGGAGGGTGAGACCAATGTCATCGCCATTAGAGAAACGCAGAACCAGAACCACACTGAGGCAGGCGCCTCTCGCCCAGTCAGCACAACCGTCGTGGAGTACGGAGAAGGTAAGTGTCAGCGAGGGCGTGGAAGAGACAGGACACGCTCTGCGTGGCTGGGAGAGAAGGGATTAGTGCAGTCGCTGTGGAAATGAGGAAGGGGTTTCCTCAGGAAACTAAAGCCACCGCTTCAGTGGAGGCGGCTTTCCCACTCCATGCTGTGTACCCAGCGGAATCAAAGCGAGAGTCCCATGATGCCACCCACAAACCCACACTTACTGAGGCACAACTCACAGCACTGAGGTGTGGGTCCAGCCTGTGTGTGCATCCACAGGTGAATGGACAAAGAAATGGGCACACACGAAGGGGATCTTCCTCAACTGGTGGAAGAGTAACATTGTGTCACCTGCAACAAAATGGATTAAATAAACTGCAGGATATGGTAAACTCAATAAGCCAGACTTAAAACAAGTATCACGTTCTCTGTAAATGTGAAATTAAAAAGAAAAACACTGAAGTAGAAAGGAGACTATGATAAGAAGAAATGAGAAAGGCAAGACAAGAGGCAGCACAATTCCTGACTTGCAATTATACCACAAAACTACTGTGATAAAAACAGCATGGTACTGGGAAAAACACAGACCTGAGGATCAATGGAACAGATCAGAAGATGCAGACACAACTCCAGACACACTCAGGCACCTTATCTCTAATCAAACTGGGTACCTCTTTAATAAATGACGCTGGAAAAATGGCTTTCTACATGCCAAAGACTAAAAGTAGACCCATATTTTATCACCAGCATTAAAGTCAGAATGGATCAAAGATCTAAATAATAAAACAGAAACATGCAGTCTACTGAAGGGGAAGCAGACAGGAGACATGGGTGTAGGCAGAGAATTCATGAACAAAATCCAAACTGTACAGAAGTACCTAAAAGAATCAACAACTGGGACCTCATCTTATTAAAAAGCTTTTGCACATCAAAAGAAATCACCAACAGAGTGAAGAGACAACCAACAGAGTGGGAAACAATTTTAGCTAACTGTCCCTCAGACAAAGGACTTTTTATCTAGAACATACAAAGAACTGAAAAAAATCAAAACCCGTAAATTCAAAGACTCAATCCAAAAATGGGCATCAAAGATGAATACACACTTCTCAGAGGAAATACAAACACAAATAAAGATATTTTTTAAATGTTTTAAATCACTGATCATTCGAGAAAAGCAAATTGAAACAACACTGAGATCCCATCTCACTCCAGAAAGAATGGCCATCACCAAGAAATCAACCAATAACAAATGCTGGAGAGGCTGTGGGGAAGAAGGAACTCTCCTGCACTGTAGGTAGGAGTGCAGCCTGGTGCAACCACTATGGAAATCAGTCTGAAGACTCCTTAAATCTAGGACTAGAGGTCCCATTTGACCCAGCTATTCTCTTTTTTGGTATCGTCTCAGAATTAAAAACATCATACCACAGCTGTATTTGTGCACCATGTTCACAGCACAATTAATCCTGGAATCAACCCAAATGCCCATCAACTGACGAATGGATATGAAGACATGGTATTTTTACACAATGGAGTACTACACAGCCATAAAGAAGGCTAAACTTGAGACTGTTATAGATAAATGGATACAACTTGAGACCTAACTCATTAGTGAAACAAATCAGACTCATGTCTGTTGTCTTCCTGTTGTAAGAAACTGCAAGAGCAAATAAGGTCTAAAATGTACAATAGGTTTTGTGAAATAGGAAGAAATTGCTAAAAAGGAACTAGAATGGGAAAAAGGGTAAAGGAAGGAAAGGAAAAAGAAAAAATGCAAGTTAGTTATACTATCTGTGTCTTTTAGCTCCTAGAAAAAAGATTTGTGGTTACATCGATTGGAGAACTTTTTATACTCATATCTTGTACTCTGAATAACTACCTTAAAGATAAAATATACAAGTATTAGTTATTCTCCTACCATCTTTTTTTTATTTAAAGGGGAAAAAACAGAAGAAAGGGTAGAAATAATACAGAATTTCAGAAAAATAAACAGTAAGAAATCACTAGTTGATACGTTACATATTGTCATCTTCGAAATAGTTGCTCAAGTTACAAAATTAAAGCATACAAAGTGATATTCAAATAATGACACTACCAACAGTTCTGCTCAATGATCCAACAAAAACTTAGTAATATGGTTATCTGTCCTACACACTTGTTTTTTATCTTAAAGAGGGTAAGATTAAACATGACAAAACAAAACAGTTCATAAGGAAACAATTTAAAGTAACACAGATTTCAAAGCAAGTCCACTGGAGATCTTCACTGTCTATCTTATCATCTCTAGTTTTCTTCCAAACAGTTGTCCCCATCTTCACACATATTAAATACATACTGAACATTATAGAACTAATCAGATCATTACAGGATAATGAAGGCTTTTTACATCTTCAAGACCTGATTTTGGGGAAGTCAATGATGACTACCATAATGTCTCTCATTCTCTTCAAAGTAGTTGCCTTTATCTTTACGTATGCTGAAATTGAACATAAGAGACTAGACTAATATCACTCTGAACAGTGAATAATAGTATCGCTAGATTATATCATAATGCTACAGAATTAGCATTGGGTTTCTTAGTATCTTTTCTTCTTCAGAGTATCTGTTCATTACATCATGTATTATATAATCTGTTCCCATAAATAGTTTAGAAATTCTTCCCATGTGTGAATCTCTACATGTATATCTATCCTTTCTGTATTTTAGGGAAAAACAGATCAAAACAAGACAACAAAACAAATTCTTAGAAAAATATGCAATGAAAAAGACATATAAGACCACAATATTAGGTAATCTACAGTAGTTACTATGTTTTTTCTTGTTATTTTGAATAGAATTGTCCACCACATCAGGCATTATATAGTTAAGCATAGCATTACATAGCTATTTTTATAAAAAACACAACTTTGAAGACATTGTGGGACTTGAAAGCAGTTAATGATCAAAACGGTTATGGGTGTCTTTTACATCTTGTCATCTTCAGAGTAGTTGTCTCTACTTTTAGACTTGATACTATCACGCATACCAAATTCAAATAAAATCAGTCAATGCAAAATAGTGGTCTAACAAACCAGCTTCAAATAAGATCAGTCATAGTAAGACAATGTAAGTAATACAGGGTTTTAGTTTAAGTTAATAGGAAATTAAGGATAGTTACCATGGTATAACTTGTTATTTTTGGGTTAGCTTTCTGTGCCCTCAAATCTCATATGAATAGACAGACCTGAACAAAATATAATCAAACTAAACAGAACAGTAAGACTACTGTGGCTTTTAAATTCTGATACACTTTTAGCAATGTCCTCTGCCTTCCTTTTTTAGGCAATTCCTCCCCTTTCCCTTTCTCAGGATGCTTTGTATATTTTGGGTCCCACTAGCTCCTATAGTTTTTAGATTAGGGGTCAACCTGCTATCTATCTGAGTGTTGCTGAACCTTTTTACCCCTGACCTTGATCTCTAGCTTTACTCCATTACTAACTAAAGTCATAGGGTTTTCCTTCCATCCAGTTGTATAGTTCTACACTGCACATAAGTGTCATAGCTTTCCAACCTATCTGTGGCTGCTGGACGAGTTGTCCCTATTTCTCTCTGGTTTCCTGTCACATATAGCATCGTTTTCTCATCTTTGACTTTCAGTTTATTAACCCTCTTTCAGGTTGAGTGTATCTCCTATTCAGAGCCTCTCAATGGATCCTGCCTCCTAGTCTACTCTACCTGTGTTTCTTTTTTTGCTAGTGTATCAGGGCTATCTATATTAAAGATTATAGCTTACCGTCTCTGCCTCATCTCTGCTATTTTATTCTTCTGTCATTATTTGTCCACTTTACTCCTTCATTCCACTGTCTGCCCCATTCATTGAGGCCTCTCTGCCACTGTTGCTGGAATCCTGGTCTTTTTTCCTCTCTCTCTCTGGAATGTCCTTCAGTATTTTTTGTAGGATTGGATTGGTGGCGATGAATCCCCACAGTTCCTCCTTGTCTTGAAAATATCTTGTTTCTCCATTAATTTTGAGAGTTTTTCCAGGTATCAGTAAAGACTGCTTGGTTGGAAGTTATTTTCTTTCAGGGCTTGGACTGTTTCCCCCCAGGCTCCCAGGTTCTTCTTGATTTGAGACTTTGTGTTGATAAGTCTGTCGTTATTTTGATGATTTGTCCTTTGTAGGTGATCTGCTTCTTTTCTCTGGCCACTTTTAATATTCATTCTTGTGGTGGATTTCTGGTATCTTGATTATTATATGTTTGACTGTAGATCTGTTTTGGTTGTAGGTAGCTGGAGTTCTGTATGCCTCATTTATCTGGATATCATTTTTTTCCCTATGCTTGGGAAGTTTTCCTTAATTATATCTGTGAATAGTCTTTGTAGTTCATTTGTGGTTACTCCTGCTTCTTTGTTCACATTTTTTATTCTTAAGTTACAGATCCTCTTGTCGTCTTCTACCCTTTGAATTGTTTCTTCCTGGTTCCTTGTTATTTTTAAGAGATCTTTTCTTTCATGATCACACATCATAAATCTCTCTTCAAGTTTCAAAAGGCTAACTTTAGTTTCTGTCAAGGCATTTTGCCAGCTTTCAATGGAGTTTTTAGTTTCCTGGTAGTCTCTTTGGATCTGTTTCATGTATTCTAGATTTTGTTTATATTCTTCATCAAAGATTTCTCTTCCTTTTCTGAGTTTCTCCACTCTTCCACCTGTGTTCTCTTAGGAGGGACTTGTCATTTCTTAATTAATCTTTTTATATCTTGCCTCACTTGCATCAGAAGTACGGTTTTAAATTCATCTATGAGGTCACAAAGGCATTTCTTTATGTCCACTGATGCTGTGTCTAATATTGCATGATTACTGCACTGGTTCTCTTCTGTATTTACCTCTCCTGGGCTTATTTTCCCAGGGTCAGCAACTGGAGGGGTTTTTTTAATTTCTATCTCTTGTCATGTTTCTGTTTTCTTTCAGACAGGTGTGTCCTAGGGGTCTTTGGCCCTCTCCATATTGCTTAGGGTCTTTCTGAAGCATGCTGACTGGGTTTTGCTGCCCTCCCCAATTTGCTGTTATCTGAGGTACATGCAGGGGCACAAGAATGGTGCAGGCTAGCCTCTAGCCTCGGAACCAGTTGACCCACAAATTCCTTCAGCGATTTAGGATGTCACAGAGTTGGACCTTTTTGTCCCTGGCTATTGGGTGCCCAGAGGCACAGCTCAGCCCCAGCAGAGCCCACCTATCCTCTCTGCACCAGGGGCAGTCGACTGATACTGCCATGGTGCCGGATTCTGCCCAACTCCAAGATGTCCTCCAGCCAGCAACAGCAGCTGTGGGACCCAATCCCCACCACTCACCCAGAATCAATGCAGCTTCTCCTCTTGACTCCACTCCACACCACACTGCGTCCTCCCACCAAGAGCTCAGGACTCAACAGTTCTCCTTATTGGCAGCCATGGCTTCAGCTCCACCTTGAATCACCTGACTCCACGGCACTCCCAGTACAGCATGGACGGTTTCAGTGAGCATGCAGGGCTCCAGCCCTACACTTGCGTTTTTCCTTCCTCTGCAGAGGTAGATTCTAGCTTGATGTGGTTTTTCCACATCTAGATCAGCATCCTGCCTCTTCAGAACACTGCGTGGTGCCACGCTCGGCTTTGGCGCCCAGGCACATGGTCCTCTCCATGGCCTCCTCTGGCTCAGGGCCCCGGGACCCAATTTCCAGTACTCACCAAAAGCCAATAAAGCTCTACCCCTTGGTTCCATTCTAGACTGTGTCGCATCTTCCCATCAAGGTGCCAGGGACTCATCGACTCCCGTTATCAGCAGCTGCGGCTTCAGCGTGACTTTGGATCATCTGACTCCAGGGCACGCCCAGCAAAGCGCAAATGGGTCTCAGTGAGCGCGTCAGGCTACAGCCCTTCACCTGTGCTTTTCCTTCCTCTTCCTAATTGTATTTTTCCCTTCAGTTTCCTCCTGGCTTAATAAAAATCATCCTCCAATCGTCTGGCCCTCTCCATGCTGTCAAATTCTAGCATCTGAGCTGCCTTCCCACAGAGACTCTCCATCCAGCCCTCTATCAAGCCGCCATTTTTCCCTACCTCCTACATCTTTTTTAAATAGAATAAAACTAAACAAAATAAAATAGAATAAATCCAGTCAGAACAGAACAATGAAAGTGATACAGCGCTTTAAAACAAGATAATAGGAAATCAGCAAAGTCTACCATAAGGCCTCTGGTTATCTTTAGAATAGCTGCCTATATCATCAGACATAATAAAATCAAACAAAACACTAAAATCAGCCAAAACAAAATAATGAAATCGTTACAGAACTTCAAAACAAGATAATAGAAAATCAATAATGGCTTCCATAATGTATCTTGCCGTCTTAAAAACAGTTGCCCATTCCATCAGACAAAATAAAATCAAACAAAACAAAGCAATGAAAATGAAACAGGAGTTCAAAACAAGATAACAGAAAATTACAATGTCTACCACCTTTCCTTTTCAGATGTTTCCTCCCCATCACTTTCACAATATCTATTGTACATTTTGGACCCTACTAACTCCCTCAGCTTTCTATACTAGGAAGACACATGGTGTTCACCCATGTGAGTCCAAACCATTTCACCCAAGAGCATGAGCTCACATTGCATCCATTTACCTATAAGAGCCTTGAGATCATCCTTCTTCCTAGCCGAGTAGCTTTCCACTGTATGAAAATACCATGCCTTCCTTTTCCATGCTGTGGCTGATGGGCAAGCTACCCCTGCCTTCTTCTGGGTTCTCATTGCATGAAGCATTGCCTTCTCTTCAGTCTTCAGTGCATGAATTTCCTTTCAAGTCAAATGTGTTTCTTGTATAAAGCATATTGATGAGCCTTGCCTCCCAATCCATTCTGCCTGTGTTTCTTTTTATTCGAGAACTGAGGCCATCTACATTCATGGTTACCATCAACATGCACTGGTTCATCTCTGGGATGCTATCCTCCTGCTGTTGGCTCCCACTTTTCCCCTCCACTCAATTCCTTGCCCCACTTGGTGCTCCCCCTCATAACCAACTTATATCAAACTCCAAATTCCTGGAAACATGATCATCTTTATTTCTCTCTAGAATGTCCTTCAGCACTCTCTGTAGGGTTGGTTTGGTGGTCATGAATTCCTTCAGTTGTTTGTCATGGAAGTATCTTATTCCTCCATTAATTTTGAGAGATAGTTTTGCAGGGTAGATCAATCTGGGTTGGAAGTTTGGGGTTTTTTTTTTTCAGGACTTGAAATACTTCACTCGAAGCTCTTCTTGACTTGATGGTTTGTGTTGAGAAGTCTGTCACGGTTCTGATAGGTTTTCCTTTATAGGTGATCTGTTCTTTTTCTCTAGTAGACTTTAATATTCTGTTCTTGTGCTGAATTTCTGGGCTCTTGATTATTATATGTCTGGGTGTAGATCTATTTTGGTTATGGCTAGTTGGAGTTCTATATGTTTCACTTATTTGTATGTCAGGTCCTTTTCCCATGACTGGGAAGTTTTCTGCTATTACTTCTATAAATGGTATTTTTGTGTCATTTGTGTTGACCCGTGCTATCTTATCATTTTATGAAATTTCATTTTACCTTTTCCCATACAATAAAATAAAAAAGAAGAAGAAAGGAATAATGGAAGGGGAGGTATAAGAGAAGGTGATGGGGTGGATAGGGTCAAAATACATTCCATACACTTGTGAAAATACCACACTGACACCAATATTCATTATAATTAATGTGCATAATAAAATGCATTTTTAAAACTTCAAAGCACTTATTAGGTTCCTATCCTGGTTCCATAACAAAAGAAAGAGCAGAATTTCCAGCTGCACTGCCCTGCTGAAAACCAAAACCAAAGCAGTGCTCTTAGGAGCCCAGACACTGCCTGCACACCCCATGCATTACTAGTGTCTGTGTCTCCTCAATGAGACCCAGGCCACAGGAGCTCCATTTTCTACTTTATTAAGTATATATCACTGAAGACCATAACTATAATCATTCTTATCATTAAAAATAAAAATTATGCCCAGGTACAATGGTGCATGTCTACAATCAGATCTACTCAGGAGGCTGAGGCAGGAGGATCACCAAGTTCAAGGCCAGCTCTCTGAGGCAAATTAGAAAACAAATAAAAACAAAAATTATAGTCCCTCTACTCAAATTTTGAGTCTACATTGTAATTTCTTACGAACTAATTATATCAAAGCCCAATGTGTATACAAGGTAAATGGCATTGACTTACTATGAATAAAGTCTAAGAAATACAGGCGTATTCCTGACCCTTTCCAAACAGTAAAGTCCCTCACTTAGGTATGATTTCTATCCCAGGAGAATTTCACAAGTCGATTCATCCCCACGTCTGACAAAGTGACTCTTAGATACCTTTGACACAAATATGCAATGAGAATCATAAAACTCCAAGCCTCCTCTGCAGCGTGGCTTTCCTCTGCTTGCTGACATCACAGGCTCTGACCAAGCGCTGCACAGTGAGCACACGGCGGCACAAGGCGACAGTGTCCGGCAAACACGGCAGTTCCCACCGTGACTTCTCCGCATCTACGCATCCTCCTAATGTGAGGTCCACTCGCGTGGGTGACAGTCCACAACTAGACTGTCCGTAACTCAGGGGCGCACTGCAGCGTAAAACGATATAAAGTAAGTAAAGGAAGAGAGAGATAAATTACTTTGTTGGTGAACTCATAAGATTTTCCAAGGGCACATAAATATTTTATTTCCTTGCCTCAGTGCCCCCAGTACCACTGTCCAGTTGAGAAGACAGCTTGGAGACCGGTCCCATGCAAGGGAAGTGAAGATTATGACCACTTCGAAGTGATCATATACTCAAAGTGACTTTTCCAAACCAGCTTTTACAAAACTGGTTATCCGTGAAAATCACTCCTGCAAAACCCAACCTGTTCAAGATGAGCTTCCTCTGCGATGTGGCCCACAGGATCCCGGCCAGCTCCATCCATCTGCTATATAAAATAAGAGCTTGTATGAATCGGGTCTCTGTCCACCCACTGGAGACTAAGGTAAGCCACCGTTCTGAGCATTGCCCACCTCTCCTCTGGTTCTCCGAGATACTTGACATTGTTTTTAAGCACCAGTCACTCTGCTCTATCTTAATGGTGAACGACACAGAACCTACTTCCCTCAAACCCCAAACCTGGCCGCAGCTACAGGGGAAACAGCCTTAAACAGCACTCACTTTGCAGGTCAGTAAGAAAACCTGGGTTCAGCTGTCCTCTGCAACACACAGAGAATCAAAAATTTTGTCCCTGATGTTTGCTTCATTGTCCCATGGTGCGATTTGAAATCTCCAAGTTTCCAAGGCCAGATCACAAGACTCTGCACAACTGAACTTCGCTCCCCTAAAATATATGTGCAATAAAAGAATGAAACACCATTACTACGCTGTCAGCATTTACATATATTAAGAAGATAATATATAAATATTATTTATTATTATATTTATATTATTTATATTATTATTTATAATAAATATAAATATTTATTATATATTATAATATATATTATATATTAAATTTATAAATACTGCCCATTCATCTTAAATGCCCATGATGAATAATGGAAAGTTTAATTAATTTAAAAATAAGACACATGGGCGTTTCTGTGTAAATACTTTGTGACCTTCTGGACTCCTGGAAAAGATTGCAAACTCATAAAACCTTTGCTACACCTCGTGATGGGGAGGCTTGGCTCCTTTTGCCAGGTAAAAGTGTCACGTAATAGAGTCATTAAAATGATAACAGCCTAATACCACGCTGTGATCCTGTAATTTATTCTTTTTTATGTGCTTTATTCTTATTTATGAAATAATTCGTGTGGCAGTCAATATTTTTTGCAAGCAAACTTTTTTTTACTTTAAAATCAAGTTTGAAAGTCTCATTAAATGACATACAGGATTTTTTAGCTGAGTTACCATTCAGTAACAGCACAATTTAGTTAAGGTTAGAGAGTGGATGTCAATGAAACCCATATTTAAATCATGTGTGTTGGGATGTGCCGTAGTGGGGGAAATCCATTAAACAGACAAACATAAATTTTCCCTGAAAAAGACATCAGTGAAAGCAATGTCTGTTCTAGCTTAGCATGAAACACATCCTCAGGCTTTTGGCAAAGCTGATGGGAAGTTATCTCCTGACACAGAGGTAGATTATTCCTTTTCTCCAGGGTTTGCGGACCTGGAAAATAAGGTGTCTGCGTGGCTACTAATCACACGCACATCAGCTGGCAGCCTGGCTCATTTCCAGCAGATCTTATCACACAGAGTTTTAGCCTCTTACTAAGCACCCCTCCACTCTTCAGTTCCTAATAAACACAGGGCGAAGCCGTCTCCGTCCTTCTGAAATGAGATGGGATCTGTTTTCATGTCTGAAAGCAAAGGCCTACGTGAATTTAAACTCTCACTGTGGATCAAGACCATCCCTCTTTGGCACTGTCTTCTACAACTAAAAGGTTTCCAGGTTCCCTACTTTGTTAAAGCCAGGACACTGGTCAATGGAAGGAAAACCAGCTCCTCCAAAATAGATCACAAGCTGAACCCCCAAAACACCCCTGTGAACCCTCAGGGCTGTTGAACACTGCTAACCCCTTCTTCTCTGACACAGTCCCGAAGGTCTCCTGACACTCCATGTCCTGAGTCGCAGGTGCTGATCTCTGAGGGCTGAACCCTGGTCACCTTCCTCACCTGGAAGCACTGTGGCTGCCCCCCTGGCTTCAGTGACTAGGGCGCTGTCACCAGAGCTCTTAGGAGGTTAGGATTAAACCCCGCGCTCCTAGGGAAACGCCCTCCCCAATCTGGTTACCTGTTTCATCTCACCAGGAAAAAAAAATCCAGCAGTTTGAAACACTGAGGATTTAGCCATGCAAAGTAAAGATCATTCCAAGACTACAGGGAACACCATCTTTTACCTTTTTATTGAAGTAATGTAAACATTACATAACTTTATCATTTTATGAGCCTTTGAACCCAAGGGCCTTCTCTCCTCCTTTGCTTCCTAAACCCACTGAACCTGAACTCACTGAACCTGTCACCACCACCAGGTTAATGGAAGCGCAGGGTCCAGTGTCCCTGCACTGTGATATCCTGTGATGGACGGGGTGGAACTGCTTCTTCACCAGTGGACACCGCGCTACGCCGAGGAGGTGACCTGCAGTGTGACATTCAGAACATTAGGAATGGCAGGGCATTCAGAAAAGGGCCACTGCCCAGTGAGCGAGCGGGGACTAGGGGGAGAGAGAGGAGCAGGGCAGTAGAGAGGATGCTTAACGGGGTGCCCAAAAACTTAGCCATCAAGATAACCACGCTTTGTTCCAATCCTTTTAAGAATCTGTGAAGAACACTATCAAACAGTCACATAAAAATGGATTTGACCCTGAGCTGACACTGTGATCCCAGAAATCTCCCACTTCCTGGATCCCCTGTTTGTAGCTCTGCCTGCATCAAAACTCCTTGCAAAACTCCAGAGCCTGATGTGAATGAGCCTACCAAGCGTCTTCCAGGAAGATGTTGGGGTGGGGGAGGACAAGAATTTTCTGGGGCTGGGTCTCTGGGGGACACCAGTGGGGTGGCGCCACATTAATGCTGTTTCTGTCACAGGTTGTTGGAATCTAAAGTCACTATTATACTGGCCTCTCAAACTGGACTTCTAGATCCTGGACAGAAGGGGGCACTGCCGAGCCACTGATCGAGGCTTTGAATTAATGTCTGCTTTCAACCTGTAAAATTCGCTAGCGTCCATTGCAGGAGTGAGCAGAAAGAGCACAGGATTTTCCCAACAGACGTGTTTGGCATAGGTTCCTCCGCTGCTGTAAATTTATCTGCCTACAAAAGATCTTAAAAACTGATCCAATTCTGGAAGCAGGGAACCTTGTTTTGGAAGAACAGGTTAAATAATATACAATTGTAATAAAAATATATAATTGTGGTGGTGGTAATTATGGAGATGGTAGTGATATTGGTGATAGAGATGACTGTAACAATGGTGATGAAGATGAAGATGATGGTGATGCCATGATGGTGATGATGGTGATGACGGTGATGCTGATGGTGGTGGTGATAGTGGTGATGACAGTGATGGTATTGATGGCAGTTATGATTGATACATTGTGTCAACTTGAGAAGTTTAGAGGTTTAACTGAGAGACTCAGCAGGGAGCCAGATCCTTACTTTGTAAATATCTTCATCCTGTGCAACAGGAGGGCACAGAGATTTTGTGAGTGCTACATCTGCCCTGAAGGGCAGTGGTCTGAGTACAATATAAGGGAAGAAAAGAGGCTGGCTTCCCCCTCTTTTGCTCTGGCTGCTTCTGCTGGCTGCTGCCTTGAAGTGTTGCCCCTGTGCCATGAGCCACCCTTCCTTGGAGCCAGCTGATTATGAGCTAAAACCTCCACAAACTGTGAGCTAAATAAACCTTTCCTTCCTTCATTTTGGGTATTGGGTAATTTGTCCCATCAATGACAGAAAAGTAATCAAGACGATGGTGCTGTTGCGCTCCTGTTGCTGGTGATGATGATGATGGCGATGGTGATGTTGGTGACAGTGATGGTGACGATGGTGATGATGGTGGTGATGATGGTGATAGTGATGACAATGATGGAGATGATAGACGTAAGGTATCAGTTCTGTTCATCACTACCGTCACTGTAAATGACTTCCTAATTTTTAAGTTGAGCTGTAGTATTTCATCTGAATCTATTTTAAGGATGCCTATCTTAGTTAAACACACAGCAGGTCACCTCCTGAAACACAGTGTCTCAGGTCATTAATGCCAAAAACTGGGCAACAAATAAGAATTTGGTCAAAACCATTCTGTAAGCTTCAATAGGATTCGTCCAGCTACCTTTAAATACAAATCCTTCTCCCCCGAACAGAAAGTGATTGCTCATTTTATTCTTAGCTCAGTTCAGCACCACAAGTCCATAGGCTAAAATACCAAATGGTCTCTTGCTTGCACATAGGGGCTTTTTCCCCTTTCCAAGTGTCTAGAGGTGAAAGAACATGTCCTAATTTACTTCATTTCCTCTTTCCTGGTTCTACAAAAAATATCAAAATGAACAGGATCCACAGAGACTTTTTGAAACTAAAGGACCATTTTAAGCTTTGATGCTTAACTTGAAAGCATCATTTTCCTCAGGGAAATAGCAATGGTTAAACCAGCTCTGGGAAGTTCACAGACCACTCCTGAGAGGCTGGACTAGCTCAGGTCATGCAGTAGTAATACAGACCCTGCCAGTATATCAGGAAGGCTCACGCTAACCAGTTGCATCCTACACACCTAAGCTTTGAGACACACTGTGATGTGTGTGTGATGAAGACCTCACATCAAAGTTACAAAATACTATACAACAAAACAGGGGTTCAGAGCTAGAGGGACCAGCGTCTCCACCAATCACATTGTCTTGCACTTTCGTCTTTAGTCATCACAAGGAAAGGGAGGCACCTGGGAGCACAATATTCACCATTTTTACCATAGACATTGTCTAAAATGCAGAGGACACTTCAAGCTAATTAGCAAAATATCAATAAGTGCAATAGACTAATAGGTTAAACTCTTTACAATGTATAATTTGTCGAAATGCCAGAAAATAATTTCCTAGAAATAATTTAACAAGAAATAGAATTTAAATTTTGAAAAGATCTTGGTCAACTTTTATGCAGATTTGTAAATCACTCTTTAAGATGTCTTTATTCTACCAACTTATCATGTTTCATACTAAAATTCACAGTATGAAATTCATGTTTCATACTAAAAATTTTCTGTCAACAAGATGTTACTTCACCATTTATCCAAATGTTTCTCTGCTTGTTTAGATATTATGCATTGACAACATGAGTAACTGTGAAAAGCTTAGATATTTATAAAATACTCAATTCCTCTGTCAACCTTGGAAATCCTAAGTTTGCTTTGACTACTCCCTTGGCAAACTTGTAAAGCAGTAAGTCTTAGCTCATACTTGAGACTTAAATTCTACATCACACTTTGGAGTTCCGCATTGCCCAGCTGGGCAAAGCCATAATTAGGCTCTTTAAGTTTTCTTCTAAGCCAATATTTTCTACAAATTTTCCTCAGCAAATGGCGAATCTACCAGGTTCTAGTAGCACATATAAAACAACGTCCTAATGAGTAAAAGATTTGAAAAAATTAGCGTTTGATATTAAGGGCTTTTTTTTTTCTTTGTGAACTTCCTGAGTTAATTAATACCCTGATGTATAATGTTACAACCAAAATGAGAATTCTATCAGAAAGATTATTTACTTATGAAATTATCAAATAAATTTTCAGATTATTTTTTGAAAAAAACCA